AAAAAAATATTTTTAGTAATAAATATTTTATAAAAAAAAGATTTACTTTTGTTTACTGGCTTGACTATCTTTTGCTTTATATATATATATATATATATATATATATATATATATATATATATATATATATATATATATATATATATATATATATATATATATATATATATATATAAACAAGAAAATTATCTCAACCAGATACAATAATAAACAATAATTGTTTTATGAAAAAAATAAAGGAACTTGTATTATGGATACAAAAATTCTAGCATGACACAAAAAAGTCGAAGAATATCTTTTTAATACAGATATCAGTTTTGTAAATACTGTTAAAACTAACCTCATAAAACACTTCATATATTTACTAGATTTTCTAAGCTTATCTTTTCCCCATTTATTTTTCAATTTAATTTGGACTGTAACTGATGTTAAGAAAAAACATCTTTTTCAATCTCTGAATCTGATAACAACTCTTCAAAAGAAATAATTATAATTAGAACTATAAATAATCCCTCAACCATGCCTGTTACTTAATTTATTTTGTACTCTTTCAATTTCTGAATTCAAACAATTTCAGCATGCTTTCAATTAATTTTCAATTTTCATATCAAGTTGAATAAAGGATTATTTAATACAATAGAATGTTGTCAATGATATAAATATATGTAACCAATTTAACAACATTACGTATAAAAGGACACCCAAATAGTTAAAAAAAAAGGAAAAACCTTATAATACATAAAAAAGACTAATAGCTAAATAGATATTATTCAGATCAAATTAAACAAGAATCTATTTCAGTTTAAAAACCATTAAGAAAAAATTATGATATTTGTGTTATACACTTTTAGCATTGGGCTTATTCATAATAGGTGGCGAAGTTCTGGCAATGAAGAGCGATATGATTTGTTATTCTTATTTTTAATGCATTCTTTAGCATATATCTCATCTGATGTAGAAAGTTGTATTCTTCACAACATGAAAATGAATCTAATTATAAAACATTTTGCCACAAAAAAGTAATTAAGTTACCTTTAAAAAAAAAACGCAAAACAAGTTAGATACTGACCATCTGTTATCTTACATTTTATCAATGAAAATTTGTGCCATTCTTTTGTTGACGAAAAGTTGTTTTTCAGTGCATGATTATAGTTTTTTTTTGGGACAATAAATTTGTTGCTATTCTTTGTCAATTCACTTGTTTAGTGCAACATTACTTGGTTAGAAAAAAATGCAGAAAAACTTTCCTTTAAAGTTGAGTTATGCTTATACTCATTAGGCTTTTGGTCATAAGAGTATTCATTGTACAAAATCAATGACTCATGATGGTCAAAATATTCTTTTAGATTTTCGCAAGATAAGAAATCATTTCTTTTAGAAGTTCCAACATTTGATTTTTTTTCTATATGTACTGATGAAAATTCTAGTATTTTTTAATATTCCTTTCGGACACGCCTACTGCATTTCTTTTTGTATGCCCTTTTTGTAAAAGACATAAATGAATCTTGGTTCCTCGATAAAAACGATAAGTGCACAACTAATAAAACAATCTTTTGTGTTATTGAAAAACACTCATATATATATATATATATATATATATATATATATATATATATATATATATATATATATATATATATATATATATATATATATATATATATATATATATATATATATATATATATATATATATATATATATATATTAGGGCTGTACCGGATTTCGGCTCCGGCTCCTGCTCCGGCCGAAATCCGGCCATTTTCACAAATCCGGCCCAAATCCGGCTCCGGCAAAAATTTAGCAAATCCGGCATAATTTTAGCCGGAGTTTTGAATTTTGTCAAATATTTATTACATTTTTTTTGCCCGTGTTTACATGTATACCTAATATTTTATTTATAAAAATAAATTTTTTTTGTAATTCTATATTTTATGAACCTCATATTTGTTTTGGTATTTGTATTTATATTTCTTTATAATTTAATAAGCTTAGTCTAATTTCAAACAACAACGCAACAAAAAATTCTGAAGGGAAGACACACGATATTCTACAATGATGCAGGTATAAAGACTATGATGTCAACCCTAATCAAGTGATTGGATGAGCGTTTTAAAAGCATTGAAAAAAGAAACCTCTTTATATACTGACGAGGCTGGTTGACTCACGATTTAAAACTAAATTCTCCTCGTTACAGGCAACACTGACAGCTGAAAAAACAAGATTGAAGTCAATCTGAGCATGCTGAACAGAAAATTGACAAAACTGAAGAAAATCCATCAAAATAAGCCGGGCTTAATAATTTTTCTACATCATCATCATCATTACTCTGGCAATTTATTGATAAAATTATTCAGTCTACGTCCGCTGGTGGCAGGGCACATAAACAACAATTACTAAAAGGCATTAAAACTCAACTAAGGAAATATCCGAAAGAACCAGAAATAAATAGACACAATGATCCACTACAGTGGCGGAGTGACAAAATCCCGGAAAAAAAGTTCAACAGAATTACTATAAACTTTTAAAACATATGGCCTATTGAATTTCTTTAGAATTTCTATTAATTTATATTTAGAAATTGCTATAAAACTTTTTAAATAACAACAATGAAGTTTAACAGAAAACAGCAGTCACTTGGTATTCTGAATAGTCCACATTGTTGACCATGCTCAACACCAAGTAGGGATGTACAGGATTTTGGCTCCTGTAGTTTTGTTTTGAAATCCGGCTCCGGCTCCGATTCCGGCCGGATCTGTCAGTAGAAATCCGGCAAATCCGGCTCCGGCCGGATTTGAAAAAATTAAATCCGGTACAGCCCTAATATATATATATATATATATATATATATATATATATATATATATATATATATATATATATATATATATATATATATATATATATATATATATATATATATATATATATATATATATATATATACATATATACATATATTTTAACTACATTATCTTTTATTCTAGAAATAAAAATATCAACTTGAAAATATTAACTTTATAATATTTATGCCAAATAAATTTCAAATCACAAGGATTTTAGCAAACATGCTAAGCATCAAATCATCGAAATATTTTGTGAACTATAATAGCATGTTATTTTATTATTTAAAATTTATTAAAAGAAATAATCATTAATGTCTTCCATGGGTTAAAATCTTTTAAATGCTTTTTTCGAAATAAGATTTCGGAAAGTTTTCATTTATAATTATCGCTCCGTAAAATTAGTTAAAATGTTTTTCTTTTTTTTTTTATAACAAGTCTATAAAAGACATCTTATAGACATCTAAGTTTAGATGAAAAAAAAATTATCTATGCACGATCTATTTTATGCATCTAATATGCATCTAAAACAGTAACTCTAGAAACAGACGTCTTTTCGATCTCTAATATACGTCTAAAATATACGTATCGGCAATAGATACAAATTAGACCAATTTTAGGCGGTCTAAAAGACGTCTATTGTTAGCTGGGATAGTTATTGACGTAAGACCACTTGAACTTTGAAAAATGCAAAATAAATAAAAAAACATAACAGTTGATTATAATTATTAAAAACATAATTGATCGATGAAAAAATTCCAAAGTTTTATGCTTAACCTTAAAAAAAAGATATGAGCAAGTAAAGTTCAAGTGGTCTAACGTCAATAACTATAAAGAATCGCAAACTTTGACAAAGAAATTATGAATGAATATATATATATATATATATATATATATATATATATATATATATATATATATATATATATATATATATATATATATATATATATATATATATATATATATATATATATATATATATATATATATATATATATATATATGTTTCGTTCTGTTGTAGAGAATAAAAGAACATCTAATTTTTTTTTTTAATTTTAACAGCAATTATTGTTTTATATACAAACAGTGGCGTAGGAAGATTTTTAAATGTTTGAAATAACCAGTTTATAAAGAACAAGAGTATTCCAAAAATTTTAATGTTCCTATGTATGACGAAAAGATTCTTTTAAAAAAACAATTACTGTGAGGAGTATAGGAACAAAAAACCCTAAAATCTTAGCCCTTCCCCCTGCCCCAATCGAGAGAGCAACAAATTAGTCAAATGTTTTTGTACCATTTTCAACTAGACTTATATTCATCGAGAAATTTTAAATTTCGTTGTAAATTATTTTATTGTTCAACAGTTATGACTATATAAAGTTTGCAACCCCCTCAAATTGAGGATGGTTTAAACTTTATATGGTCATAATTTTCGAACACTAAAATATTTTGTTATGAAATTTAAAATTTCTCAGTGAATATAAATCTAGTTAAAAGTAGTGCAAAAGAAACTTCATCAACCTGTTGCTCTCAAGTTTGGGGCAGGGGGTGCTAAGATTTTAAGGTTTCTCGTTCCCATTCTCCTATCACTAAATTTTTTTTTTTTTTAATTTTTTTGTCATACATATGAAGGTAAATAATTAAGGAATATTCTTGTTGTTTATAAGTTGGTTATTTCAAACATTTAAAAACCTTCCTACGCCACTGTATACGAACATAATATTTTTAAAATATATGATATAAATGTCTTTATTTTTTTCTGTTAAAAAAACTAAAAACCATATATTAAATTGTTTTATCTGTTTTTAACGGAAAAAGTAAAGATATTTTGATAATTTTGCGCCCTATTAAATTTTTGCGCCCGGCATAATTTCCTTTTTGACCCCTACCTAGCTACGCTACTGCGTTATAGTTATGACTTTTTAATCCCTGGCTCATGATTATTAATTGACTACCTTCAATGACAAGAAGGGGCGGTAGAAAATAACAGTAAATTAAGAATGCCACTTTATTTAATATTTTTTCTTCTCTTTTTTCTCTTCAACTTTTGAATCTGTTAAAAAAAAGCTGATGTTTGTTTTGATATGTGTAATATAAATAGTTTCTTATCTTAATTTATATTAAAGTAATTAGAATATTTGTTATATTAATAAGGGAATGAGAAAAGAACATGCAACGCACGCCAGTTCTTCAATGCAAAACCATCTTTCAATGGCAATATCAAAATTGGAGGCACTTGAAAACAAAATGACGTTAACAGTGGATACGCTTGAAAATAAAATTGCGTCAAAATTGAATGCACTTGAAAATAAAATTACGTCAAAAATGGAGTCACTTGAAACCAAAATTGCGTCGGAATCAACTGCACTTGAAAATAAGATTACCTCAAAAATGAAATCATATGAAAACAAAAATGCGTCAGAAGCGGTTGCACTTGAAAATAAAATTACTTCAACAGTGGATGCACTTAAAAATGAACTTATTTCAAAAGTGGATGAACAAAAAGATAAAATAATGTTACATGAGAAAAATTTGGAAATAATAAAGGCTGTTCTTGCAGTTGAAATGGTAAGAAAATGATTTAAAGTTTTTAAGTAAATATAGAATAAAACCAAAAAAATATATGTCATAATTATGGCCTACTATAATTATATAGTATATTAATATAACACGGCCAGATAACTTGCTTTTCGGAGCGAAATATTAGAAGGGTAACTTTTCAAAACATAAATATATTGTAAAACATGATTGGCTACACTTAACTCAATAGAAACTATAATTTTTAGCCGGGATTTTGTGTATGGAAATGTGTATAAAGTATAAAATTTGTTTGACAAATATGATAAAAGTCTTATAAATTAGACGCTTTCCTTTGCCTGTTGATTTTTTTTCTATAAAAAACTTACACTGCTGAATTAAGAGAATACTATTTGTACTTTGTTCATCAATAAAAGTTGTAATAACTTTATTAAACAAAAAAATAATAAAATTAGCAATGACTTTAATTACTTTGAAGATGTACCTCATATTTTTCTCAATAATGTTAACAAGATATATAAAAATATAAACAAAAACGTAACAATAAAGGAGGAATATACATTAAAGGCATAATAATTCAGCTGTATAACTTGGCATTGATTACTTCATTTTAGTTCAGCTGGATTGATTATTTCATCTAAATCAGCTTTAATTTATTACTTTGTCTGCGTTTAAAATTCTTTACACTATTCTTTCGAATTTCATTAAAATATTGTTTCTGTTCATTGTTAAATATATATTTGTAATATATATTTGTAACATGTGATTTACAAATTTTATACCAATAATTTGATGAACATGATATAAGATGATCTTATGGGATGATCATTCTTATGGAATGATCATCCCATAAGATAATCATTTGATAAGAATGAAGTAGCACCAGTGGCGGCGCCAGCATTTTTTGGTCTTTGACATAGCTAACATCCAGATATGGAGCAAACTCCAAACATTTATAAGTTTATACTTATGTAAAGGGTTTTGTATTAGAATGTTTATGTTTTACAAAAGTTTATATTATGTTTTACATTATGCTATGTTTTACAGGATGTTATGTTTTACATAAGTAAAATGGATGACGGAAAGACGGTGGCTATCTACCTGTCAATGCAGTTGTATATAATGATGACGATATTTTTTCAATTAAGCAATAAATAATTGGAACAAGATTTAAGTCCCAAACTAATGTTTTGCCAATTTTAAAATGTAATTCTTTAAAATGTTTAGCACAAACAGCTAATTTTTTACTGGGGTTTAACTTTTGATTTATAATTAACATAACTTTCGATTGATAAATACTTAAGTATTTATTAGTAGTACTACCCACTGTTTAAATAAGTAAGGATTATTTTCCGGAAATCCAAAAATTAGATGGTTTTCAGGAATAAAATAAAGTTGATTCTCTCTCTTTTTTTATTTAGTTTTACACTAAACTACAGCACATGTATTAACCATATAATAATATAAAACAATTAAAAAAGTCCGAAAGTAACCTTCTAATATTTTACTCAAAAAATGCAATCCGGTCGTGTAAATATAATAGGCCATGGTCATATTCAATTAGTTACTAAATACGTCCAGCCGTGAGTGTGTTTTTCTCAGAGATGAAAGTTAAAATTTATAATATTTAATACATAAAAATATATAAAAAAAGATTAAAAAAGCAATAAAATTAAATTAAGAAAAATTTTATTTTTCTATAAATGAAAAAGACTAGTGCATATAGCTATTATTTTTGAAGTTATTTTTAAAAAAATATTTTTGGGCAATCAGTTCAATCGTGTAAAGTTCCAAAATAAAAAACGTTTTAGGTAGAGTAGAGCGGGGCTAGTTGAGCAGTTTTTGCTAAATCTAACAGATCTTATGAACGGTGCGTCGGACTTTTTTTCAACATTTGAATGATAATTTAACCTACTGAATATTTGTTAAGAAAAAAGTATAGTTTTTGATTTTTCCTTAATATATTGTCTAAAGTTTGCGAAGCTGCTCAACCTGCCTCAGCGGGGTAAGTTAATCAATAGTGTGTTGTAAGTTGAAAAATCAACAAATAAATGAATATATATGGTACGAAATTTGGGTGTTTAGCGTGTGTAGAGATTATAAATTTTTATTTTATACACTTTAATGACGTAAGTAAAAATATGAGAAAAAATTAAATAGTAAGAAAGTGTCATAAACAATAAAAATATAATTTTATACAACTATCTTGAACTTTGAAGCCTGATTTAAACATTACAAATTATAAAAATATACATAAATAATGCACCACTTAATTATTTAACATCAAAGCATAGTGGGCCAGAAATCACTTGTCGCTACTAATAGATAGAAGACGCGTTAAAGACGTAAAAAATGCGTAGTTTTTTTTATTTTAGACGCTTTTAAAACGTCTTGCATCAATTAGCTATCTTTTTTTCACCGGTTAACTTGCAAAAATCATTAATAGAGACCAGGCGGACATCCGCGGAATATAAAACAAATTTATCTTGATAGTATACATATTGAACAATGTATTTTAAGTTTAAAATTACTGGACCGCTTTGGACCGCAAATGTATTCGACTATATAAGTGAAATTTCAACTAAAAAAAATACTTCAAATACCCGTCATTTGAAACCATTTTATTTGACATAACTTTATATGCAAAATAGTATTGTTATAGCTCATTTGAAAAATAATTTTTGATTTTATGAAATGAAGCAATAAAAAATAGGTTTAAACATCTATTCCATGCTTATTAGTAACATAAATACTATCAAATTATAAAAAAATTTAGAATTTTTTTTTTTAAAAAAGGTTTTTATTCTACAGCTAAGAAGTATACAACTTTATAACTTACAAAAAAATATTCATTTTAGAATAGATGATTGTTTAAGATATATAAACTGTTGTATAATAATGTAATTTGCGATAATGTATTTTTTTTTACTTTTTTCCACCACCAGGCCCACTGTACCGTCGCATCAAGTACTTTCTTTGAGAACAAATTTTTATCTTTGAGAACAAATTCATAAAACTCAATACACGATTTAGAAAATTTTACTAAACTTGAAACTCTGCGCTCACAAATTCAACATTCGCTCTATTTCTTTCCAACCTATCACTATTCACGAGTGCGAAGATTTTTCCACAAAATGCATTACTTGCCGGGATAGACCACACATAGGAAACAGTTTTAAGTAAATTTACTGGAAAATGTTTATCACCACAATTAACGATAAACGTTTGCCATTTTAGAGCAGTAATGTCACTTTTATCATCCACAGTAACATTTTCAAATCCTGACTTAGCTGATAAATATTTATCGTACATCATGTACACGTTTATAATTGAAGTTAGAACGAGAATACCACGACCAGTAATGATGTTTTCAAAGCTGGGGACAACCTGCAAGGAGAACGGCTACATAACACACGTAATTGCTGAAAATAAAAAATCGAACCACTGCTCTAAATAAGTCACAGCTGTCTGTAAAGCAGCATATAAATTTGGCTCAATTGAGTTTTTTATAGCTGTGGGAATATATCTGCCTTAAGAATAAACTAGCCGCTAAACACAAAAAATCTGTCTTGAAACCGGTCGTTCAACTTCTTGCGTAAGTTATACATAATATTATAAAGCTTGCAAAAAAATTTGTTTTCTCTATCCAGAACAAGAACAGTTTTTTCAAAGACACAACACAAGTTTTGGACGAAAAACAAATAAATTCTGGTGACTTCATAGACCAACGCATGCTTACATGTCTAATTATTTCCTAAAATTCCATATCCAAAAATGTGAAAAACTCTCGCAACTCAACTTGAAGGTTGGCTGAAATACTAAAATGACTATAATCTGCAGTAACAAGGGTTTCCATGTCACAATCAAGCAAGTCCACAAGTTTTTAAAGAGTGTTATATGTGATATGGGCATTGCAGTAGGTTTTTACAATATTTTTGTTTAGTGCTTTTAACTCAGTAAAAACTGATTGTCGGACGCCATAACTGACACTGGCATTGTCAGCCGAATACGCACTTACAATTTTATTAGACCAGTTTTTATCATTTTACAAACAGCAACTGAGCACTCTTCATTTTGCTCATCAAACACAATTAATTTTTTGTTAACACCACATTTAATATTGAAATATTTTACACAAATTGGGAACATCTTTCGGTTTTTTAAATTTGATGCATCATTTGACACGGCGAAACACGTCGGTTTGGAAGGTAGATACTGGTGAGGTCATCAACAATCATCTCAATTGACTTTTAGCCAAAACAAATTTCACAATAGCTTCAGCTTTAGTACGCCCACAGGCCATTTTCAAGCATATAGCGGAGTAATGGAAAAGTACAGAATCCAACTTTGAGCCACAATAGACTGCATTTTATGACATGTGATGTTAGACAGAGCGGTTAACTCTTGTTACTTCAGCAGCAACTGCCTATATAGTATGCAAACATACTGAATAAACTAATAACATTGATACTAATTTACTAAACAAAATTAATGATGTAATTTAGTATTTAATTCAATTTTATTTTATTTACAGTTTTTAAGTGACTAGGCTGACTTGAGAAAGAGGCTGAGATGAGACTCCTAAATTGAGTTCTGAGTGCAACTTACCTGTTTGTCTAGGCCGGTAATTGTAGATTTCATGAAGTACGAGATCACTGACAAATAACGAGCAACATTCACGTTTCCCTTGTGGAGATTGTACTCTGAATGAATAGTCAAATTGATGCGTCCGCCATGTCTAATTCCAAAATTTCGGTTACAAAAGGTGCAGTTAACTTCAAACATATTTCCTGGCACTCAACGACACCAATCGAAATTGAACTCCCACATTGTTTGAAATCAATTCAACTGCTTTACTTTCTTTTTTTTAGGTGTAACTTTCCATTGAAGAACTTCGTTTAGCTTTTAACATGTTTCAGACAAATAAAGGCGCCTGGCTTGATAAAATTAATGCAAATATTTTAAAAAGTGTCCTTGATATTATTGGTTTGCCTCTTTACATTATTTTTAGAGTTTCATTAAAAAACGGG